GCTTGTCTAAGCCCAAACAGCCCGCTCTCCTCATCAATGTGTAGGCTGTGTCAACCCAGCTAGAACCATCACTGTACAACAGTCTCTGGGCTGCTTGAAGCCGGAAAGCCATGATCCTAGAGGAAATGTCCACCAGGCCTTGCCCACCCTCGTGCAGTGGCAGATACAGGGCTGCAGCTTTAATCCAGTGTTGTCCAGACCAGACGAAATTGACAAGGGTCCTCTGAAGCTCTTGTATCAGACCCTTTGGTGGCTGCAAAATCATTAGTCTATGCCACAGGGTAGAGGCAGCAAGATTATTAGCTACCAGTACCCTTCCCCTATAAGACAGCTGGCGCAGCACCCATTTCCATCTTGACAGTCTGGCACACACTTTCTCCACTACACCCTCCCAGTTCTTTTTCTGAAAGACATCGGAGCCTAGAAAACCCCCCAAAGTCTTCATCCCATCTCTGCCCCACTGAAGCCCCCTTGGTAACCGTGGAGCGGACCCCATCTGAAGCTGACCTACCCACAGCGCTTCACTCTTTCCCCAATTGACTCTAGCTGAGGAGGCCCCCTCATACACCCTTAAAGCGTTTGAGAGAACCTTAACATCCTCCCCCCCTGTAATAAAAACGGTCACGTCATCTGCATACGCAGACAGTGCTATCGTGGGACCCTTCATTACACCTGGCACAGAGAAACCAATAAGCTTCGTTCTTAAAAAACAAAGCATTGGTTCAATCGCCAGACTATATAACTGCCCTGAAATTGGGCATCCCTGCCTGATGCCCCTTTGGACAGGGATGGGGCAACTCAAACCACCCCCCACCTTCACCATACACGAGGCCCCAGCATACAGTAAATTCATCCAAGACAAAAAAAACATCCCCAAACCCAAAGGCTTTTATTATTTTAAACAAGTACTGGTGGTCCACACGATCAAAAGCCTTCTCCTGATCCAAAGAAAGTAAACCCACATTTACATCAGACAGTTTACAAATGTCTAATACATCTCTTATTAGAAACAAGTTGTCAACAATAGAGCGATCAGGTACACAGTAGGACTGGTCCTTGTGGACCAACAATCCCAGATACTCTTTCAACCTGTTTGAGAGACATTTAGAAATAATTTGATATTCTGCACACAGCAAAGCAATAGTTCTCAAATTTTTTATGAGAGCCAAATCTTTTTTGGCAACAGTGAAAGTACCGCCGACAAGATACAGGAAGAGAGCCCTCATGAAAAGATTCACATACCACTTCATAAGAATCCTCCCCAATAGACCCCCAAAAGTGCTTATAAAACTCAGATGGTAAACTATCAATGCCAGGGGCTCGGCCTGTTGAGAGCTGCATAACTGCTGTGGACAACTCTTGCAGTGTAATGTCAGAGTCCAATACGACTCTTTGCTCAGGTCCCAATTGAGGAAGACCGTGAACAACTGTTCAGTATACAGAGAGTCACAATCCTCCGCCTTATAGAGGGCAGAGTAGAAATCCACGGCATGTTGACGCATTTCACTGTCATCCGTGGTCACCTTCCCATCAGGGAGACGAAGGCAGACCATCTGTTTACGTTGCAATGTCGACTGTCCTAGGTATAAAAAAAAAAACGCTAGGAGCATCCATATCCTTGAGGGAAGCGAAACGAGTCCTAATCAAGGCACCCTTCACTCTTTCATGCAGAAACGACCTCAGTTCATGTTTATTGTCCTATAAGTTCATGACTAGTCCGGGGTCATTCTGAGTGAGCAACTTCAATTCAATAGATTTGATGTCCTCTTCAAGGGCCCTGATAGTCTCTTTAACTTCAATTTGAGACAGAGCAGTATACTGTTGACAAAATAATCGTATTTGGGCCTTCCCAACCTCCCACCATTGTCTCAAGGACTCAAAATTCCCTTTTGTAACTCTCCATTTTTCCCAAAACAACAAAAACCTTTCACAAAACATGACATCATGTAACAATTTAACATTAAAATACCAATAAGATGATGACCTTCATGGACAGGACAAGTGAATATCAACAGTGACAATATGGTGATCAGAGAAACCGACAGGAGTAATGTCACACCTTCCAACCCTACTACAGTACTGCTCAGATACATACAATCTGTCTAACCTTGCTGCACTGACATGACCTTCATTAACTTTTAGCCATGTGTACTGCCCAACTTTTGCATTCCTTACTCTCCACACATCAGAAAGCTCAAACTCAGTTAACAGACCAGACAAGCAAGTGGCTGTCCGCAGGTGAGGTTCTTCAGCGGTGCGATCAACAGTAAAATCCACTGTACAGTTCCAGTCCCCTCCTAAAACCATACACCCCCCTCGTGGTCACACTGTCTTAAGGTTTCCTTTATTTTATCAAAACCAACAATACGCTCTGTACCCTCTTTAGGAGCATAAACATTCAAAAAAAAAAAAAAAAAAAAAAAACATTCACCTTGACCAATAAAACCCGACCCTTGACAATCTCTGTTGTAGATACCACAGTCACCCCTAAGCCTGAAGAAAACAACATTGCCCTCCCACCACATACCCCAGTCAACCTCATTTTCCTCATCACTATGTGTTTTACTACTTCTAATACCCAAGCCCTCTTATTCCTGTCCCTTCCTCCATTAATATTGAGAGAACCTACCCTTAGTATCTCCATATAGAAAAGAAAAAGGAAAAGCAGAAGATACCACAGAGAAACCAGACAAAGAGAATAAAACACCCTATGAGGCATAATCATCATCATTATTTAAATGTTCTCTTAACCTGACCACGTTTCCCACCACCTTTTGCTGCTGCAACAGCAGTCTTCTCACTCAACTGGTCTAACCCCACCATCTTCTGTAACATCACAGCTGACCTCACAAACTTCTCAACATCAAAATAATCTGCCAATTTGACAGATTTCCCAAAAGTCTGATCCATAAACCCATTTACCTCCTCTAGATCATAAATTGAGTCCTCACCAGCTGATATCGTATCAAGAGAGATATCCATATCCTTCTCCTGATCCTCCTCAACTGAGGCCACAGACCACTGACTCCCCTCTACCACATCCCTTTCAACACTCCCAACTTGCACCCCATCACTCGTACCAGGCAACTCCTCCACTACCTGGGAGACTAGCTCCACATTAACCCCCTCCTGTACCCTATTACTCGTAGTGGGCATCTCCTCCACTACCTGGGAGCCTAGCTCCACATGAACCCCCTCCTGTTCCCCAGCACTCATAGTGGGCATCTCCTCCACTACCTGGGAGATTAGCTCCGCATGAACCCCCTCCTGTAACCCATTACTTGTAGTGGGTATCTCCTCCACTACCTGGGAGATTAGCTCCACATGAACCCCCTCCTGTACCCCAGCACTCGTACTGGGCACCTCCTCACCAGTCTGAGGAAATGGCTCTTCAGATCCATCCTTACCTTCTACAACAATATTTTTCTGCTGCATAACATTTCCCTCTGGTACAAGTTGCAACTCTGTGCCCTCAACACGGACAACTTGTTCCTCAGCAACAAATGCTTGTGGCTGCTCTACCGCTGTCAGCCCACCTCTCCCTCTGCCTTCTCCCTTTTCTTGCAAGCTTATCGCTTATGACCAACATCCCCACACTCAAAACACTGTTGACTACCCGTACTAGCATAAGCCATATACAGTTTATTGTCATACTTGACTTTAAACGATAACTCCAAAGTCTGCCCCGGTGAGTCCAAAAACATAAACACATGTCGCCGAAGCGACATAACCTGTTTCAACGCCGGGTGTTTGCAACCCAACGGGACAACCTTAATAGAACTTGCAAACTTCCCAAAGTGCAATAACTCGCGCTCCAATAGTTCATTTGGAATAAATGGCGGTACATTTGAAATCGTTACCCTTGTTGACGGAGAAAAAAGCGCTGTAACTTGAATAAACATTCCTTTAAGAAGTACGCCATGCTCAACCATACAAGGCGCTCTTCTTTTAGAAATACCACCACCGCTTTATTCATCCATGACGCATAAGCAACATTCTCATATCCTACCTTCTCTCCTACGGCGACCAGAAACTCCTCCACCGTGACAGTAGCTTCAGTAACACACCTAAAGCCGTGCCGAAGTGACAGGGACGGCGTCCCCATTCGGGCCGCCATCCCCACCAAAATCAGGGTCATTTCGACACGAAAAACAATATACTTAATTCTACCACAACAAGAAAATATAAATAATAACCTTAATCATGCATAGAAGAAAAAAGGATATCACCAAGAAAAGGAAAATCGAAAGAAAACCCAGGATATCTAACTCTACACAACACTCGCACTTAGCGCTCACTCAAACAATTCCCAGCATGCACCAAAAACTCCCAGCATGGAGAGAGAGAGAGAGAGAGAGAGAGAGAGAGAGAGAGAGAGAGAGAGAGAGAGAGAGTACTGTGGGATTCATTAATAAGTTTGACTCATTGGACTATGTTTGAAGTGGAGTGTTTTTTTTGCAATACACAGTAGATGTATGTGTTCCAGAGTAGAGAGACCCATAGTAGCAACTGTAATTGAGTACTGGCAGTGTCTGCTGTGGCAGGTGGGAAGGTGCAAGTTACCTGAAAAATATCTAATCTCTCAATGTACATATCAAAGTGCACCAAATTCATGCATTTACTGTAGCTGCTGAAATTCCTTCTGGAGGAAAATGCCCCCTGGACCCCCCTACTGGCTTTGGGTTAAGCCCTGAATGTCTTCAAATCCTAGAAATGCCCCTGATCATGAGTCACATTGTGGAAATGAAGTGCCCAAGCGCCAGTTAAACCGCAGTGCCGCGCGAGCGAGAGAGGGGTTGAACTGTAAATCCGGTTCAGTCGGTAGATGGCGGTAACCCAGGAAACCCAGTCTGTCTCAGTTTGCAGCATTCGCAAAGGAGGCAGCGGAGCCGAGCAGTTGAAGGACATCAAATGAAACAGGGCAGCTTACAGCGAGTCCTCTTGAGTTTTGCGCGTAGCCTGTCCTCCGAGCCAGGAGACAGTACGTTTTAGAGAAAATCATGGAAGAAAAATCTAATTCGTTCTCCAGCAACAAAGAAGTGGAGAAAGCGGATGGGAATAATGTATTTCAGAGGCAAGACTCGATACAGAAGAAGAATATGGGGAGCCAGAACATGAAAGCAGGGGACCACGCGAACTCGGTGGGCTTCAAGGGGGACCAAGAGGAAGCCTTGGTCGGGTTCGACGATCTAGACGGGTCCGGGGACCGACATGGCTTTATGCAGAGGCAATTTGGAGCGATGATGCAGCCTGGCGTCAATAAGTTCTCCCTGCGAATGTTCGGCAGTCAGAAAGCCGTTGAGAAAGAGCAAGAAAGGGTCCAAACGGCGGGATACTGGATCATTCATCCCTATAGCGATTTTAGGTAAGGAGTGGAAAGACACCTTCTCGTCTATTATTATTTTTTTACCATGCCGTCCATTCACCCACACAGCCAGGTCCACAAGACACCACATCACTATGTAATCAGTGCGTGTACGTTACGCATTGTCCTATGTGTAGGGTAATCTGTATTCGTTCTTGAGGCAATTATAGAGACGTTGATTGTTTTACCTATCAAATTGTGATCGTATTCACATTTTCCATTATTCTAATATGGAAGACAAGCAATAGATGAGTCCACGAGATGTCCTTGGAAAAAGGATGGTGAATGTCAAGAGATGAATACACAAATACGAATTGTTTTCCACATAACAGCAGTTTTTATTGCGGCATATGCGGATCTATAATAAGCCATGAAAGTAAGGTGGGAACATCAGGATTGTAAACATAGCCCTGCCTGCAATGATGAAACGACGACGAGGATCAGTGAGGATCATTGAGGATGGCCTCTGGATGGAAAATAGACATATGCGGTACATTCTAGCGAGAAACGACAACAGAGAATACGGAGAGAGATAAATAAATAAACATTGATTATCCGCATCAAATAAAAAGAGCATACAGGGGAAGGGATGAATTCAAACACCAGTCGTTTGAACAGTTAAAGGGAGCCCGCCTGCAAAACCGTGAATAATGGACAGATATTACACCTCCATCAAACATAAATCCACGTAGAACAGCGCAGAAATAACGTGATGCAATTTGCATATTTGTTTTTAGGGATATATTAACCTATTACAACAAGATTCGTCGTATGATAAACCTAATTGCTTGCTTTGTTTTAGGTAATTCAATTGGATAGAGTTTGAGATAAGTGGTTAATGGGCTTGTGTAGACATTGCTCCAGAAATATTTGTATTATTTAAAGTGCCATCCTCACGCACAGTGTGTCTCTGACATTTCTTTGACTGCATAGAAACGACCTAATACTGCGCATTGACAGAAATAACAGAATGAGCCAGATTGAATGCTGCAAATTATTATTTGGGTGACTGTCAGTCAGTGGAATGTTTGTTTGAGAGACTGAAAGAAACCTCTCCTGAGAAATTAAAATAATATTCTCGAATATAATCTCGTCAAATGGAAGCATTCATAACCTGCCTCATCTGTTCAGTAACACCCCAGCTTTGTATTGTGTGTTGTATAAACATTGCAGTGTCATGTGAATATGGATGAATCTACACTCTGTCTAGGCTACACTTCCTGAGCATTGACATCTATGTAAATACGGGACACACTCTTTTCAAGCCACTTCAATACAGCTCTGACCAGAAGTGACTTTCCTAACAGGTTAGGAGAGCATTTTTGCTAACCCTAACCATTTCCCTAACCTTAACCTCAATCTCCTAACCTTCTACATTCATTTTCCTAACCTGCAGCATAAGGTATCCAAGCCTGCTATGGAAAAGTCACTTCCTGTCATAGCTGTAACCAAGTGCAGTGAGAGAGTGTTTCACATGTAAATACACCGTTATGACCTCTGCTAAAAAACACATTTTCCATACCCAATATGCTACATTTTAAGTTCACCAATTTAACACAGCATAGTTGGTTCTGCCTTCCCTTCCACCGGTGTCCCCCGGTAGAGTTGAATGGATGGTGAGGTGACTCCCCTTCCCTGTTATAATAATCTAAAGTATTGACTTAACTTTAACTTGTCGCTGTCCATGGTGCTGAAGTGCTACTCTGCCTCTGCTAGCCTACTACTATACACATAATACAATTATCTATTATGAGAGATGTTATGACTGAAAAGGTTGGTTTTTTTGTTTTGTTTTTTACAAACACTGTCCACCACTTTAGGATACACTTCTCTTCTCATAGATATTGTATGTCATCAAGAGAAAAACTCAAACTTTATGGTGTAGTTTGGGGGATATTTGGCTGCTAAACACATTGCCTGCATCGCAAATATGGGAGGGGTCACAGTGCGTCTAGAACGTCTGTCTGTCAGTAGAACGAAGGTGAACCAGGATTAGAACTACTACATGAGCTTACTTTAGGTTATAGCAGACCCCAAAACAATTTTGTGATCTACCTTTCTGTGATAATATACACAAAAGGCATATCTGGACCAATGTGGTGATATGCATGACTGCTTATTAACAACTATTAGTATCGTTTTTTTTAGACTGTTAGACCACTTTAAAGCAAGAGTCCCCGCTTTAAAGTGGAACTGACAGTGTTTTTAACTACTTTGCAGATATGAAACAAACAGACAATCCATAATATCAGTCAAACATATCAAATTCCCAGTTTATGCTACAAAACCAACTTTATAATTGGTTTTAAAAATAGGTTCTATTTGACTCAACATTCCATGACGTACACTAAGGAATGTTGGCAGAATACATGGATGCAGTTCAATGCATGATTAATATAATTCATCAATACATTTCTCGGTAGTCCAAAACATATTGCTATCAGGTTGTAAAACACAGCTGGCCTGGTACATTGTTTGCTGCCTCCATTCGGGATGCACTGTTTCAGTTTCAATGACTCAATATTTTGGACAAAACCGACTAATGTAACTAAGGTTGGTAATGTAAATACAATCAAACTAGCAAGGGCAATGATCACAAGTCAGTCATCACGTGGCTAATAGGCTAGCATATTTATGCTGAAGAAAAATATAAACGCAACATGTAAAGTGTTGGTCCCAAATTTTATGAGCTGAAAGAAAATATCCCAGAAATGTTCCATACGCACAAAAAGCTTATTTCTCTCAAATGTTGAGCACTAATTTGTTTACATCCCCGTTAGTGAGCATTTCTCCTTTGCTAAGATAATCCATCCACCTGACAGGTGTGGCATATCAAGAAGCTTATTAAACAGCATGATCATTACACAGGTGCACCTTGTGCTGGGGACAATAAAATGCCACTCTAAAATGTGCAGTTTTATCACACAACACAATGCTACAGATGTCTCAAGTTTTGAGGGAGCATGCAGTTGGCATGCTGACTGCAGGGATGTCCACCAGAGCTGTTGCCAGAGAACTGAATGTTAATTTCTCTACCATAAGCCGCCTCCAACGTCATTTTAGAGAATTTGGCAGCACGTCCAACTGGCCTCACAACCGCAGACCCCGAGCCGACTAGGTGAAAAGTCTGTCGATGTGCCCTTGAGCAAGGCACGTAACCCTAATTGCTCCTGTAAGTCGCTCTGGATAAGAGCGTCTGCTAAATGACTAAAATGTAAATGTAAATGTAACCACACCAGCCCAGGACCTCCACATCCGGATTTGACGTACTGCCAAATTCTCTAAAACGATGTTGGAGGTGGCTTTATTTCTGTCTGTAATAAAGCCTTTTTGTGGGGAAAAACTGGGCCTGGCTCCCCTATGCCCTCCCAGGCCCACGCATGGCTGCGCCCTTGCCTAGTTATGTGAAATCCATAGATTAGGGCCTAATGAATGTATTTCATTTGACTGATTTCCTTATATGAACTGTAACTCAGTAAAATCTTTGAAATTGTTGCATGTTGCGTTTACATTTTTGTTCAGTATATTTATGTAGCAAGCTAAAAACACAGAGCCTAATGTTAGATAGCTAGCTAGATGCTAGGAGGATGTCATTTCATGTCATTGGATGTCATGTCATATTGCTTTTCGGTGGCTATACACAGGTAGAGATGCAGGTGTCATTTAACTAACAAGAACTTGAATGGCTGTTATCCAGTTAGCATATCTCTTGTGTTCGCAAATTCAATCTGGCTATTACTCCAATTTCAGAGCACTCTCGTCTGAGTGTGCCAGAGCGTAGAATAACTGATTAATTTACTAACGCGCAACACCGGCTGAATATGACCGGTGTCAGTAAACTTAGGCAAAAAAAAGTAATAGTCACAAACGCTTTAGATAACATTTAAACAGCCTAGCTAACCAGCTCTGCTAGGGTGAGTAAAATGGTCAGAGTGACGTGTTCGCTCATTTTTGTCTGGAAGTAGCTAGCTAGTAAGCTGGCTAACTTTAGCCAATTAGCTTGGGTGCTTGATTGCAGGCAAGCTGCAGAAGGACGAGTAGGCTACAATTCCCCGTAGTTTATCAGTGTAAATTTGACGGCCAACTAGCTGAAAAGGTTTGAGAGTTTATCTAATATTCCTTCGTTAGATTTTAGCTCATCTTGCTCTGGCTAGCATTAGTTGTTGATCTTGTTGACGTGCATAACTGAGGGAGAGAGAGCCTACTTTTTCATGGTTGTTTGATCAATAGGACTGTAAACTTCCCAAATGTAAGAGGACTCCCGTGGTATTGACATATTTGCAGAAATCCATTCAGGTGTATTTTGTGGCTTTTGGCGAAGGCGTTCTAGTGATCTAAAGTCGCACTGTTGCAACTGCCTGTAAACCCACAGTCCAGTTCAAAGTGAATGATGGCAGGCCTGTGTGGCAAATGGCTGGTTTGCATAAAGGCCTACTGTAGCTCTAGTTGGCTATGGTGCAACGGTCTGCGTAGACTCCGGTCCTGGACGAGACAGATTTATTTTTTATTTGAATTTTTTGGGGGTAGATCAGCTTTAATATTGAAGATAGATTGTAACTTCCATCAATGTAATTGTCTACATCACTTCCAATCCCCCATCTTTTTCTTTCTCACATATATATATATATATATATATATATATATATATATATATATATATATATATATATATATATATATATATATATAAATATATAAACTCAGCAAAAAAAGATAATTTGTAAAAATCCAAATAACTTCACAGATCTTCATTGTAAAGGGTTTAAACACTGTTTCCCATGCTTGTTCAATGAACCATAAACAATTAATGAACATGCACCTGTGGAATGGTCGTTAAGACACTAACAGCTTACAGACATTAGGCAATTAAGGTCACAGTTATGAAAACGTAGGACACTAAAGAGGCCTTTCTACTGACTCTGAAAAACACCAAAAGAAAGATGCCCAGGGTCCCTGCTCATCTGCATGAACGTGCCTTAGGCATGCTGCAAGGAGGCATGAAGACTGCAGATGTGGCCAGGGCAATACATTGCAATGTCCGTACTGTGAGACGCCTAAGACAGCACTACAGGGAGACAGGATGGACAGCTGATCGTCCTCGCAGTGGCAGACCACGTGTAACAACACCTGCACAGGATCGGTACATCCGAACATCACACCTGCGGGACAGGTACAGGATGGCAACAACAACGGCCCGAGTTACACCAGGAACGCACAATCCCTCCATCAGGGCTCAGACTGTCCGCAATAGGCTGAGAGAGGCTGGACTGAGGGCTTGTAGGCCTGTTGTAAGGCAGGGCCTCACCAGACATCACCGGCAACAACGTCGCCTATGGGCACAAACCCACCGCCGCTGGACCAGACAGGACTGGCAGAAAGCGCTCTTCACTGACGAGTCGCGGTTTTGTCTCACCAGGGATGATGGTCGGATTCGCGTTTATCGTCGAAGGAATGAGCGTTACACCGAGGCCTGTACTCTGGAGCGGGATCGATTTGGAGGTGGGGGGTCTGTCATGGTCTGGGACGGTGTGTCATATCATCATCGGAGTGAGCTTGTTGTCATTTCAGGCAATCTCAACGATGTGCGTTACAGGGAAGCCATTCTCCTCCCTCATGTGGTACCCTTCCTGCAGGCTCATCCTGACATGACCCTCCAGCATGACAATGCCACCAGCCATACTGCTCGGTCTGTGCTTGATGTCCTGCAAGACAGGAATGTCAGTGTTCTGCCATGGCCAGCGAAGAGCCCGGATCGGAGGATGAGGGTTAGGGCCATTCCCCCCAGAAATGTCCGGGAACTTGCAGGTGCCTTGGTGGAAGAGTGGGGTAACATCTCACAGCAGGAACTGACAAATCTGGTGCAGTCCATGATGAGGAGATGCACTGCAGTACTTAAAGCAGCTGGTGGCCACATCAGATACTGACTGTTACTTTTGATTTTGATCCCCCCTTTGTTCAGGGACACATTATTCAATTTCTGTTAGTCACATGAGTGTGGAACTTGTTCAGTTTATGTCTCAGTTGTTGAATCTTGTTATTTTCATACAAATATTTACACATGTTAAATTTGCTGAAAATAAACGCAGTTGACAATGAGAGGACATTTCTTTTTTTGCTGAGTTTATATATATATATATACATACACATACAGTGAGGGGAAAAAAAGTATTTGATCCCCTGCTGATTTTGTAAGTTTGCCCACTGACAAAGAAATGATCAGTCTATAATTTTAATGGTAGGTTTATTTGAACAGTGAGAGACAGAATAACAACAACAACAAAAATCCAGAAAAACGCATGTCAAAAATGTTATAAATTGATTTGCATTTTAATGAGGGAAATAAGTATTTGACCCCTCTGCAAAACATGACATAGTACTTGGTGGCAAAACCCTTGTTGGCAATCACAGAGGTCAGACGTTTCTTGTAGTTGGCCACCAGGTTTGCACACATCTCAGGATGGATTTTGTTCCACTCCTCTTTGCAGATCTTCTCCAAGTCATTAAGGTTTGCCTGACGTTTGGCAACTCGAACCTTCAGCTCCCTCCAAAGATTTTATATAGGATTAAGGTCTGGAGACTGGCTAGGCCACTCCAGGACCTTAATGTGCCTCTTCTTGAGCCACTC